GCCCCCTCCTCGTCTCCCCTGCCTGTCCTTCCTAAAGAGCCTGCATCCCTCCATCCCAACACTCCAATCATAAGAGCCATCCCACCATGTCTCCATGATGCCAATAAGGTTGTAGCCCTGCAGGCGTGCGCACGCCTCTAACTCCTCTTGTTTATTCCCCATGCTACATGTGTTTGCATAGAGGCATTTAAGTTGGGCCCCCGATGAAGCTGTCTTACTGGCTGGAGTTCCTTTGTGCTGCCCTTCAGGCGCTCTCCTGCTGACCTGTGATCCTTCTCCAGGCTCTGGGCATCTATTGCTGGCCCTGGCATCAAACTGGTAGGAGTGGGATGGATTGAGGTTCCCCTCCCCCAGCATCTCTGGTTTAAAGCCCTCTTCACCAGCTTGGCAAGCCTGTGGCCTATTCAGCCCTGGTGAGGCCTCACCTGGAGTACTGTGACCAGTTCTGGGCTCCCCAGTATGAGAGATGTGGACATACTGGAGATAGCCTGTCAGAAGGCCATGAAGATGGTGAAGTATCTCTCCTATGATGAAAGCCTGAAAAAGCGGGGGCAGTTCAGCCTGGAGCAAGAGAAGGCTCTGGGGGATCTCTTCAATACCTATATAAAAACCTAAAGGGAGGGCGCAAAGAGGACAGAGCCAGGCTCTTTCCAGTGGTGCCCAGTGACAGGACAAGAGGCAATGGGCACAAAATGGAACACAAGAGGTTCCCTTCTGAACATCAGGAAATACGATTTCACTGTGCGGGTAACCGAGCACTGGCACAGGTTACCCAGAGAGACTGTGGAGACTCCCTCCTTGGCAATAGTCAAAAGCTGTCTGGACACGGTACTGGGCAACCAGTTCTAGGTGGCCATGCTTGAGCAGGGGGTTGGACCAGATGACCTCCAGAGGTCCCTTCCAACCTCAGCCGTTCTGTGAATCTTATTCTTGTTTCTGCTTTTATTTACATTAAAGCAAAGAGTTCTCCTACATTTATCGTTTCATTTCTACAACTTTTTTTTTTATTACTTTTTAGAACAAAGACATACATGACTTACTTAGACCAGATGAAAAGCAGAGTGCATCAGAAAGTGATTCTCAGTCTGAGATCATGTAAGTAGAATTATTTTACCTTGCAGTGGTACTTAAGCTAAACCTGCATTTACTTAATTTGGATATAATTTTGATTGACCATAGTAGGTTGGACTAGACAATAGATCATGTAACTTTTTCCCATATTCAATGAAGTCTTTGATAGAAATTTTGATCACTGAGGAGTAATGCTTTGACTAAGATTTAAAATGTTACATGGGAACAAGGAGGAAGACTCAACCAAGCTTAGAAAAAAGCTAGCTGCTCTACAGTTAGCAAGAACAAGAGATTTCTCTGAAGAAGTTCTGCCATTTTGTGAGTGAACCTTGGTTGTGAAAGTTGATTTTTTTTAATTTTTTTTTTTTTTATAAAAGGGCCTCACTGTATGCTTTGAAATTCGCAGTTGTCCATCAGGGCTTATTAGCTGCACACATCATGTGTATGGTGTATTCATACCTTCCTAACTGGAAACTGTTGCTCTTTGGAACTTAGTGCAAGAGTCTAAGTTGAGTCACACCTCTCTAGAAGATACTCCAAGCTGTCTCTGTCTTACCTGTGCTCCTTTATGAAGTTAATCTTTGTGACTATTTCTTACATTTATTGCTGTAACTGAGCAGTGGTGTTTAAACAAGTCTGTGCCTGAAGATCCCATTTTTGTGTGATCAGCAACTTCCTATTCCATGATACAATTTTTTTTAAAGGTGATTTAGGGATGGGCTACTAGTTAACGTTAAATTGTTTTTCATGCCTCTGTCTTTGCCTTATTGAAGGGCAGCTCACTCTTATGGTAAAGACCATCAAAGCTTTATTTGTCCTGTCCTAGGAAGAATATAAGAAAAGCTAGTAGTTCCCAATCTGAAGATTATTGATAAGCTGTAGGGCTCTGTCAAACAGTGTGTGAATCCCACAGACACTCCATTGCAATGGTTAAGGACACAGAGATTGATGTATGTACCCCATTCTTCAATAATGTATGGATGTTGGCAGTAGGACAAGGTGTTTGAAAACAGCAGTTCATAATTGTGTGAGTGGGATAGCTGTGAAAGGGGATGGAGGGACAGGAAAGGCAGATGCAAAATTTTGTATATAAAGTAAATCTGCTCTACTTTGGAGCAGATTTCTGTTGTTTCTGTTGAAATCTGTTCACAGTTGACACTGACATCAGTTGGGAATCCCTAGGAGAAGAGGTGTTCTATTTATTTAACAGCAAGAAGCACTTCCTTCAGATATTTTTAAGTAGATTCCACTGAAAGCCAGCAAAGTTGTTAAGGTTTATTTGATGTTCTTTGCATTAAGTAGTAGCATATCTTCTAATATCAGAAAGTGGTAATATAATTTTTTTCAGTTTATTTTCTTGCTGCATTACCGATGCAGTCTGTGGTGCTCTTGAAGTACATCTTGGACCATATAAGACTTTAAGTTTCTCTTTGGCAATAACATATACCACCTCTTTTTATATCTTAAGGAAAACCGAGAAGCCAGCAGACAGAGGGCACTTGCAAAGACCTAAACCCAATTCAGTGGGATCATCTGGAAGGAGAGAAGCAGCAACCCAAGAAAAAATGGAGGCCGAGACTTCCTCTCCAAACCTTGTGAATACAGATGAAAAGGTCAGAAGGAGGAATGTTGCTTAATATGCTATGCTCTTGATGCTGTATCTGTTTTGACCAATGCTGATACTGTGGACCAGCTACAGTCTAATAAGTAGTATTCTGAGAACTACCTCTGAGGTATTTGTACACTTGTCCAAGAGTAATATTCGTTGCCTCAATTCCAGTGCTCTGAGGAAGACAGTAGAAGAAACAGAAATGAAGCTATGGAAGTAGAGAACAAGTATTTGGATACTAAATCTGAGTAAGTATTGAGATCGCTTTTCCAGTCTCCTGGAATTAACTGACTATAACTGTTAATTTATTCTATATAGTGCCGTTATAAAAAGACAACAGTAATTGTGAAGTTTTAATATAAATCTTAAATTTGACTTTGGCATTTTCTTGGATGATATCAAGTAGTACTATGGTAGAAGGTACATACTTCTTTTCTGGGCAGTTGAGGAAAGCATTACTTTATGAAGTACCATCTGTGCTTGGAATTCGGGAGGGGGAAGGGAGGGAAGTGATAACTATGTCTTCGCCTTCTTCCCACCCTCAGTTGACAGCTAATGGTTCTGCTTCTGACACCTGCAGAAGCAGCTATGGTATGCAGTCTAGTTAGGTTCCTCCCCTGTGTGATAACTTCGTATCTTTTTCATAGGTAGATAAATAGAGTTTCCACACTCTGTAAGACTAAACAAAGTTTGGTTCTCATGTGAAGAAACTTGCATAAGTTTGTGCAAATCCCTCCAAAGACAACTCAATTCCAGTAAAGAAAGCTGTGCAAGTCATTGAATATTACATAGGCTTGAATATTATGGAGTAAATGTTACTGTTGTGGATACTTTGTGCAGAGAACCTGAAAAAACTGTAATTGCAAAGGCAATAGTTAGAGGATGTCGACAGAGGTTTAAGCCTAATGTTACAAGAGCGTCTGGAAGGAAAGAAGAGCCTGGAAAAGATGCAAGAAATGATAAAATGTCCCATCCACAGCCTAAGGGAGAAACCGAAAAGGTATTCAATAGAGTAAGGTAACTGGAGATAATGTGCTAGCTAAAAAGCTGCTGGGTGCAACAGCAACATTATCTTTTTCTTTTCTTTTTTTTTTCCCCTTTTTTTTCCGCTGAGTATGACCAGGAGTCAACCACTTATTTAACCTGCAGTGACAGTGTGATATTGCTTAGAGGCCTCAGCTAAGCTGGGAGCTTGTCACACAAACAGTAGATGCCAATAATATTTCATGTCCTGCAGTGAATGCAGCTTTACTTGTTTGATCTAGATTTTACTGCACCTTTCTGACTATGTGAAAGGTACCCTGTAATTGCCTGTGTCTGTCATAAGCAATCCGGTTTTTATCCTGTAATGGACAGTTACCTGGTCTGTTAGGTAATGCTGTACTTTATAAATGTAAGAGACTTAATGTCTTGATGTTCTATTTCTATTCAGAATACTGATCAAAGCAATAGGTCTGATGCTACCAGTGAAGAAGCTGCACAAAAAGATGATAAAGTCCTGGAGACAGTGTCTCAGTAAGTATATGAAAAACGAGAAGACATGTGCTGCTCTCCAGCAATTTGCCATCTCTCTCACTTCTGGTAGTATTACATAGTGTGGTAATTATAGACGTTTCTGAAGAAACTTCTGCAATGAGACAGAAATTGAGGGAAGAATAGGAATTTTTTTTAACACATGAAACAAATAGATTAAACGCTTTTGTTTTTAAAGGAGTGCTTTTAAATGAGATGTCAGTCATGATAAATGCAAAAAACCCTGAAAAGTTAGTCCCTTGAAAACTCAAACAAGCCTTCTCCACTAGCTTTAATACTGAAATGCATCTGTTTCAGTGGTGGAAAGTGTAAAGTATTTAAACAATAGGAAAAAGTGTTTGTTCTTAAAGTGTAGTTAAGTGTTTGGTGTCTGGTATGAGGGGAAAAAATTCCAACGTGTGGGCAATTTAATGCACATGTTAATTAAGAAGTGTTTCTTGTAATTCTCTTCAGTGGAGAAATGGCAGCTGTAGTGTGAGACGAGGAATGTGTTTTACAGGAGAGATTATTGAAGAAAAAAAAAAAGGAAGAAACTAAAACCCAACAACAAAAAAGCCACCCCCACCAAAAAAGAAAAAAAAAAACCCAAAAACAAAAAACAAAAACAAAGCAACAACAGCCACCAAAAAAACCCCAAACTTTTGTTTTTAAAGGGGGATGGTTGAAGAGGATGGAAGGAGGTAAACTGGGTTTGATAATGTGGCAGAAAAATACTTTAACAGTTATTTCTTTCATTAACATGCTATGTAACTTGGTGCTCAGGGTAAAAAGGCATAGAAGTATCTGACAGTTGTAATAATGTGCATCTGATATTTTTACGTTAGTAGATTATGAAGATATTTATGTATTTTCTGAATGTTTATGATTTTTAACCCTTCATTAAATTAGGTCCATCTGCCTCTAGACCAGATAGGAATACAAGAAGAGCCCAAAAAAAAAAAAAAAAAAAAAAAAAAAAAAAACACAAAAACAGCCACCAAAAAAACCCCAAACTTTTGTTTTTAAAGGGGGATGGTTGAAGAGGATGGAAGGAGGTAAACTGGGTTTGATAATGTGGCAGAAAAATACTTTAACAGTTATTTCTTTCATTAACATGCTATGTAACTTGGTGCTCAGGGTAAAAAGGCATAGAAGTATCTGACAGTTGTAATAATGTGCATCTGATATTTTTACGTTAGTAGATTATGAAGATATTTATGTATTTTCTGAATGTTTATGATTTTTAACCCTTCATTAAATTAGGTCCATCTGCCTCTAGACCAGATAGGAATACAAGAAGAGCCCTTATGGGTCAGAAAAAGGTCTGTCTAGTGTGGTATCCTGTCTCCAGTGGGAAAAGAAAAAGAACAGGGCAAACATAAGTTTAAACTTGTCAGGTACTTTTTCAGTCTCTAGCAGATAAACTTCTAACTTTATTGTTTCATGAAGTTAGTAATGCATAGCTCCATTTTAGATAAGTGTATGTCAATAACTGTTTAAAAAAGAAAAGAAAAAAGTATCACTTCTCCAAGACTCCTCTGCTTTCAGATGTGGTATGTACTTATGGATGTTATGTATTTTTTCAGGTCTAATGAAACAGCTGGTTTCCAAGAAGACAGCAAACAGAGTGTGCTGAAACCAACACCTCTGAAGAGAGGCAGAGTGCAGAGACCAAAACCAAATCTAGGAAGAACTGTTGCAAGGCAAAAAGACCTGACAGATGAAAAAGTTCCTGAAGAGGAGAAGACTGAAGGTGGAGAAGTAGAAAAAGCTGTTATACACCATAGGGATGAAAACAATGATCCATGCCTCAAAAATGTAAGTTTCTCGAGCAGTTGCTTAGGCACACTGTTTTGCTGGGGCCTAAGTAGAAGCTTTTAGTAAAAAAGATCTAGGTACGTACCACATAATTTTTAAGCATAGCCTTTGCATGCTTTGTTTATTCTTTTAGAATGAACTGAATTGTCATAGGATTTCCTCATGCTTGCACTTGGGTTCTGTTTTCCATGGATAGATGGATTATATCTCCCTTCGTTGGGTTATTTGTGCTACCAGGTCTGAAAAGAGACGTGCAGAGAAAAAAAGTCTCTTGGAAAAGAGACCACTTCAGATAGAAAGTATATAGAAAAATAACAAATTTTTACTTTTAAAGTAGCTACTGATATTAGTTGGATGCACAGGAAATGAGATCTTTTTGAGTGTTTTTGTAAAAGATACTAAAACAAACTTTTTATTTTCCCCTGCTCTTCTAAAAGAGAGGTCCAGCAAATATTTCATCTTAATAGAGTGAAACTTCTATTCCTTTTAGGATGTGACGGTTCATGAAGATGCTCAGCCATGCAATGTGATGTTAGAAGGGGACATTTCTACAGATTCTGAGATGAACTCAATACATACAAGGCAGTGGTCCCACGAAAAGTCCTCAGAAGCAGAAAGCTATGAAAGTGAAAAGGGGTTGTCAGATGTCTTGAAACAGGTTTCAGATTTCAATACAGGGTAAGGTTATTTTTTAAATGGAGAGAAGGGATGGTTCAAAACCAGCAATATCTCTAGGTATTCTACACTTTTACATTCAACTCCAGCATTAAAAACAAGTTTTATATCTATAATGAGATGTTTAATCAAGACAACGCTAGACTGTCGTGGTTTAACCTCAGCTGGCAACTGAGCACCACACAGCTGCTCGCTTACTCCCCCTGCCCTGGTGGGATGGGGGAGAGAATTGGAAGAGTAAAAGTGAGAAAACTCATGGATTGAGATAAAGACAGGTTAATAACTTAAATAAAGTAAAATAGCAGTAGTAATAATAATAGAAGAATATACAAAGCAAGCGATGCACAATGCAGTTGCTCACCACCTGCCGACTGATGCCCAGCCAGTGCCCGAGCAGCGGTCGCTACACCCTGGCCAACTCCCCCCAGCTTATATACTGAGGATGACGTCATATGGTACGGAATATCCCTTTGGCCAGTTTGGGTCAGCTGTCCTGGCTGTGCCCCCTCCCAGCTTCTTGTGCACCTCAGTTGTTGCTAAGCAGTGTTTATACTAAAACATCCATGTGTTACCACATTATTCTCATGCTAAATCCAAAACACAGCACTGTACCAGCTACTAGGAAGAAAATTAACTCTGTCCCAGCCAAAACCAGGACATAGACTTAAACAAACAAACAAAACCCCAAGAACTCAAAAGCACTGAGGTTATATGCTGTTGGATGTTAATTTGGTCTTTAGACTGTGAGCCCAGTTTTCAAACAAATATGTCTTTCTGATGCTCGGTTCCTCTGGTTATCTTCTCCATGTTGGTCCTAACAGTGCATCCCTGTGTGCTTATGTAAATCCTTGAGTATAGGGTTTGGTTTCCTATTAAAATGTCCTTTAAAAAAAAAGGCAACTGTGCTGTAAATCTGCTGGGTAATTTTAAACATGATTAGGCAAAGAAAGGCATTTGTAAAATGTTTATATTCCTCTCAAAGTGCAACTGGAAGTTGCAGTTGTTCTGAAATGATGTATTTTTTTTAACTTACCTTTGCTCATCTGTTTATAAGATACACAGGGTTTTGGTGATGTCCAATGTGCTTTTATTGGATCTTTTTTCACAATGTCAGTAACTTTGTTATTCCTCTAAGAAAGCTAAGTTTTTATACTTGGCTACTGTATTGAAGAGAGCTACATACAAGTAAGTATGTCATGTGTAACTTGGAGAACCACTGTTGTCCCATGCTTTCGATTGTTCTTTTGTTTGTTTTTGTAGGGAATCAGGTCCTCGGAAGGAAGATGAGAAAACTGTTGTATCATCAGCTCGGCTACTGAGGAGTCGATTCCAGAGACCAAAGCCAAATTTAAGAACGACAACTGTTAGAAGGGAGGTGCTGGATGTAAATAATAAAGGTGTATCACAGAAAGATACCAACAAGGCAGAGAGTTTGACACAGTGTGACAGTGCATGTAGCATCCTTCCTGATACAGATGTAAGGCTTTTTTTCTTCTTTAGTTATATTTGAGCTTTTGGATTTGTGAAATGAAGTACTGGTTATTTAAAAAATACAAGTTAATCTTTTTTGAAACAAAATTTTCAAAAGCTATATTTTTCTACGTGAAAACTCCTGTACTTTCTACTTGGTTGTTGTGCGGAGAAACAGATTACATCCATTCTGTATCTCTTGTTATGCGTCCAGATGTCTTTCTGACCTGAGGAGGCCTTGTAGAGTTGACAGTGAAGAAAGAAAAGTATTAATCGAAGATGGCAAAGAAGGAAATCTAGATTTCAAGCTATTTTGTTTAAAAGAAACAAATGTGTGTTTGTCCTGGGAAGACTGGGAAATTGTTAGTGAGGAGTTAACAGAGGGTTTTTTGCAGGAAACACTTCAGAGAGTGATTAGTACCAAACTTCATGGACATCATAATGTCTCCTTTTGGTTTAGTATCATGACTTTTTCTGGTTCTGGTGTTTACATTTTTCAGAAGGCAGGAAAACATGAAGTCCTGCAACCACTGGAATCCTTAGGAAAGAGGAAGTCATTTGGCTCTCAGGAGGTTTCTGAGAGGCAGAGCTGTAAGTCCCCAAAGACACTTTCAAGATCAGAGGATGATGAACTCAAGTTTTGTCTACCTGAAATTAACCAAGATGATACCTCAACTACTAATGCAGAGTAAGGGCTTAGCTACTTTTGTTTCTTGACTGTAACAATGAAGGTATTTTAAAAGGAAATCATTGTGTCGATGGATTGCTAACTGGCAAAGAAAATCTAACAAGAATAGTGAACGAAATCTCAGTTGTCATAGTTTCGACACTAGTTATACTAAAATTCCAGTTACTTCTATGCTAAGCATTAAATTAATGAGCATTATTTTACAACTGTTTCATCACCTGAAACACTAGATTCATTTCATTTAAGCAGAGGAATAGTAGTTTGCTTATTGGAGAAACTGTGTGAAAACTGCTTTGGTTTTATAGTAATAAGCAGACAGTAAGCTAATGCCTCCAATGAGTTAGTTAATTCTGTTGTGGAAGTAGTTAGGAGACCAGTGCTTTGCAATTTTTGCTGAAACAAAATTTTGTGTTTGTAACTTAAACTCAGCAGAACTTTACATTTACATGGCTTCTTTTAAAAACTCAGCTGTTTTTTATATGTAAATATAATGAACCTGTGTTTGTTAATGATATCTGAAACTTAAAACAAAAGCTTTTTTTTCTCTGTCTGACTTAGCATTGATAGCAAAAATACCACTGAAGAAGAAAGTAAACAAACACCTCTTCAGCCTGTCCAGTTAGTGCGGAGCAGATTCCAGAGGTACAAGCCAAACTTGGGAAGAGCTATTGGAAAGAAAGAATTACAAATATCAGAAAATAAGAGGGAGAAAAAGCCTGAAGCAGAGCAGTTAGTATTGCAAAAAGATGAGTCTGCCAATACTGTCATGGTAAGTCTAATAAGAATAAGTGCTTTACCTTCAAAAGTATGGTTGCAAGTTCTATTTTATGAAGTTAAATTAGAACATTTGAGTTTCATTCCCTGAAGCTGAGACACCATACTAGATGAAGAAAATCCCCAAAACCCTGGTATGTTGAGGTATTGCAGGTATGAAATCAGTGAAGTCTACAAATGAGGATCTGATTTTGATTGGATTGCATGATAGAAAAAAGGATTATGGACATTTAAGGTAAACTCTAGAATAAAAATGTGTTATATATTGCAATACATAAATTAGCTTTTTTGCTCATTTTATCTTTCCTGTTTGGATGAATCAAGTCTGTGTTGACGAATCTAGTATAGAGTATCGAGAGAAGGCAGAGGATAGCTATTTTTCTGTAAAAAATAAGGTCTTATTAATTTGGTAAGCTTTGACTGGCTTTATCGCTACAGTGCCTGACACTCCTCTACTTTACATAGGTTAATTTAGTCATTCACCTACACTGTCTATCCCCACAGACACTTTACTAGGCACTGTAAAAGGTATTGAAATCCTCGAAAGCCATTGTAGTATGATGAACTTTCTGCAACCGTTTTGTGGATTGCTCATGAATCATGTCATGGATGTGGGCGTGAATTGTCTCTGTGTAGTCTTGCCTTAGATCTCAAACATAGCTAAGCTTTGTAAGAGTGACTCATTTTTTGGAGTGGTTATAGCTGGTTTTGTTCTTGAACCTGTGTAGAGCTAGCTTGGAGTACTTGTGTGCTGCGTTCCCAGAGAGGAGCATGGGTGCACTGCATCTATAGCCTCCCTCTCAGTGCCACAGTGTCAGCTCATCCCTAGCTGAGATAGTTGCTTGCGGTTCAGCTTTGGCTATTCTAGACCTGTGGCTTGTGGAGCATGCACATACATCTGCTCTGTGCTGTGCAAATCTGTAGAACCATGGCAGGTCTGATGCCTCTCTGTACTAATAAAGCTGTCACAGACCTGGAGTGCTGAGGGATGTGTTTGAGTGGCTGCTTTGTGGAACTAGTGTGGCAAATACAGAAGTAAAACTAATAAGGCCTTCTGAATCTGAGGTTATGTTATAGTGGCTTGGGTGTGCCTGTGTGTGCTCTGCAGTGCCCAGTTTTCAAAGGTTTTTCCATTTGCCAAAGTATTTTGTTTCCGTAGTATTCCACATAAGAGAGTTGACTGAATGCTGAATAGAAAAGTGCTACCCATAATACGTGGGTGCATATAGTATTTAAAAGCCTAACTCTAGGTAGCCCAGGACTAAAAATACTTCTGTTCCTACTTGCCTATAGATTGAATTATGTGCTCAGGCAGATTACTCTTAATAAATATAATGAGATTCTTTTCTTGATTCAGATTGGGAAAACAGCACAGAGATCTGTAGGTTTTTGTTTTGTTTTTTTTATAAAATACACTTCTGTTTTAAAAAAACTTGCTTGATTCTCTTTTTCTTCATGCTTTTTTTAATTGGAAATTAAAGGGTGAAAATGAAGCTGTATTGTGTCAAGCAGATGTATTGAGCAATGAGGAACAGGAACAGCAAGAGGTGCCTCAGGTGCCCTGTATTTCTGAAAACATACTGTGTGAACGAAGCAGGTGAGGTTAGAGTTTAGCAAAATTGCATTTGAAAAGCTTTCATGTGGTGCATGATGAGACACCTTTGTAAGTGTCAATTCTTTTGTTCCTTGTTACCTGTCTTTCCCTAATGTTTAATTTTCAGTGCTTACAGGCAGCTTCTTCCCATGCTTTCAGAGCACATTTTTAGTTGAGCTGAACTACTTGTCATTGTTTATCTGGTACATACTTGATCTGTATGAGCTCATAGCTCTTTTTGACCAAGCTTTTCTTTTATTGGGTTTGTATTTGCTTATACAGTGATCATACATGTAACAAATATAAACTTTGCAAAATGTCAGAGATCTGTCTTTCACTGAGCCCAGCGTGCTCTTCTATTTTACTGCCTTTCTTCTTAAAATAAGATCTTAAGCATGTATTAGACTGCTGATACTTTGATGTTGGTATGGGTAGCAACACAACTTTTTTCTTGATGCTAAAAATGCCTTGATAAAGAAATCTTATTATTCCTTCTCACATGTTAACCATAAATGCCCAAAATGAGAAATACATATTTGAAAAGATAATTTTCTTGATTTTAAACAAAACAGTATATCAGTCTCTAACCCTTTTGTATAAGTGTTGATTCAAAACTTAATGAATGCAGAATTGCTTTTTTCCCCTCCCAACCAAAGTCAAGTGACATAATTTTTTGTTTGTTTTTGTTTGTTTGCTTTAAATTCAACAGTGCTGAAAAATCCATTTCCCAAGAAGGCAAGCTGGGTGCTCTGAAACCAGGACAATTCATAAGGAATGGATCTCGGAGAACTAGACCAAACCTAGAAAGAGCATATAACGAAAAAGAATCTCCAGTGGCACAGAAACTTGCTGCTCCACTTGAGGAAGAAGCAAATAAAGGAGAGAGTCTTCCTGAGACAGAAGTATCTGAGGAACCTCTTTCCTCAAAAGTGAGAATTCTGTTCAGATATTTCTGACTACACTTTCTGATGCTTGGTTCCGCACCAGTTGTTTTTAAGACATCTAAATAAGCTGTTTTAAATGCATAAATTAATTTTGGACTAGTAAGAATTACATTCCTGTTTAATATTTGCACCCTAATATGAGGTTTTCTAAAATTCTGTTAATGACACATTGATAATATATAGACTTCTGTTAACAAATCTAAAGACTTCACTTAAACTTTGAAACTTCAGTCATGTTCATGATACATGAATAGTTACCTGCATGCCATATTTCTGTTGCTGGGTTTCTTCTGAGCTCCTTGGTGGTTGCTCATGAAAGACTATATTGGTTAAAGTATCTGTTTTTATTAGATAAATACCTTCTCTAAAGGAACAAGTAACAGTGATGGGTGCCATAAACTACTTGAAAGTTTTTAAGCAAAGTTTTGTCTCAGGTTAACTTGCAATGCTTTATTTTACAGGTGATGTATTTTGTTCTAATATTGTTGGGTTTTTTTCTCAAATCTAAGGAGGACATGGAAGTATTGTTGTTTGTGGGGAATTTGGCCAAGAATGATAATATAGACATAAATCCAAAAAGTATGAAGTCAGAAACGCTCTGTTCCTCTAAAAAATCACCTAACTGCCACAGCAAGGGAGAACAAGAAGGTCTATCTACAGACGCTATAGGGAGCGTTCAGGATACCATAGAAAGGTAAAGTTCCCTGTTGACAAAGTAAAAAAAATTCTTTGTGTATTTGTCCAGTTGTTTTCATAGAACACTTGCTTTTTGAAGTGTAGGCTCTGAGCTGTACTAGTTATATGCTACATGCTGTGAAGGTCACTAGGTGGCATCCTTAGGTAATAGAAGAGTTTTTAACAGAATTTTTCTCAATTTTCTCAATTTTTTTTACCTTCCTTTTTAGAAGGTATTTTGCAAGTGAGAGTAGACACAAGTAATCAGAGTTTAGCTGTCTGAATTTCTCAGTAATACGTTCTTAGGGTACAGTGCACTATGAATGTGGACCGTTGAAAGGAAGACTGAGCAGTGCCATTTGCACTCACTTATAATTGAGAAGGGGTAGGCAGAGTAACATAAAATGAGCTTGCTGTCTAAGATGTATTCTGAGCCTCTTCACTTTTTCCTTCCAGAAGAAGTTCATGCAAGGATGTGCAGTGTCCTGGTTCTTTGGTGGAGGGGATGCTTTTTATGTATGTGCAATATGAGGCAGATAGTGCCATTTACATGTAACAGTTCTGAGTTATGTTATAAGCTACCTTTTGCTCAATCTTATCTGATACAGAGCAGCCTCAAATCCATTTACTTCTGCTGTTTTCTAAAATTAGCTTCTGGTTCCCATCTGTCCCTGAGCCTCTGCTTAAAATCTCTTCTATAACTTACATTGAAATCATATCCCAGAGGCTTCGTGCTAACAAGACAAGGACCTTACCTTACAGTCGTCTTGGCTTCTGCGATGGCGGAATTTCACAGAATCACAGAATGGTTGAGGTTGGAAGGGACCTCTGGAGGTCATCTGGTCCAACCCCCTGCTCAAGCAGGGCCGCCTGGAGCTGGTTGCCCAGTACCGTGTCCAGACAGCTTTTGACTATTGCCAAGGAGGGAGTCTCCACAGTCTCTCTGGGTAACCTGTGCCAGTGCTCGGTTACCCTCACAGTGAAATAGTATTTCCTGATGTTCAGAAGGGAACCTCTTGTGTTCCATTTTGTGCCCATTGCCTCTTGTCCTGTCACTGGGCACCACTGGAAAGAGCCTGGCTCTGTCTATCTTTACACCTTCCCTTCAGGTATTTATATACATTGATGAGATTTCCCCACCCACTCCCACCAAGCCTTCTCTTTCTCCAGGCTGAACTGTCCCTGCTCTTCTCAGCCTTTCATCATAGGAGAGATGCTTCTGTCCCTTCACCTTTGATAGCCCTTTGCTGGACTCTATCCAGTATGTCCATGTCTCTCTTGTGACCAGTTCTGGGCACTCCAGTACAGTACTCCAGGTGTGGCCTCACCAGCGCTGAACAGGGGGGAAGGATCCCCTCCCTCAACCTGCTGGCAACGCTTCTCCTAATGCAGCCCAGGATACCGTTAGCTTTCTTTGCTGCAAGGGCACATTGCTGGCTCACGTTCATCTTTGTGTCCACCAGGACACTCGGGTCCTTTTATGCAAAGCTGCTTTCCATCTGGGTGGCCCCCAGCATGTACTGGTCCCTGGGGTTGTTCCTCCCCAGGTGCAGGACTTTGCACTTCCCCTTGTTGAACTTCAAGAGGTTCCTGTCAGCCCATTTCTAGAGCCTGTTCAGGTCCCTCTGGTTGGCAGCATGACCCTCTGGTGTATCAGCCACTCCTCCCAGTTCTGCATCAACTGTAAACTTGCTGAGGGTACACCCTGCCCCATCATCCAGATCATTAATGAAGATGTTGAACAGGATTGGACATAGTATTGACCCCTGCAAGTACACTGTTAGTTCCTGGCCTCCAACTAGACTTTGTGCCACTGATCATCACCCTCTGAGCCTGGCCATTCAATCAGTTTTCAGTGAACCTCATTGTCTGCTCATCCAGCCCATACTTCATCAGCTCCGCCTGCAAGTACCTGTTAGTTCCTGGCCTCCAACTAGACTTTGTGCCACTGATCATCACCCTCTGAGCCTGGCCATTCAATCAGTTTTCAGTGAACCTCATTGTCTGCTCATCCAGCCCATACTTCATCAGCTCCGCTGTGAGGATGTTAGGGGAGATCGTGTTAGCAGCCTTACTAAAGTCAAGGTAGATACTATCTACTGCTATCCCTTCATCTGTCGAGCCACTCATTTCATCATAAAGGTTATCAAGTTGGTTAAGCATGACTTCCCCATTGTGAATCCATGCTGACTACTCCAAGTCACCTTCTTGTTTTTCATGTGTCTGGAAGTGGTTTCCAGGGTTAGTTGTTCCATCACTTTCCCAGGGACTGAGGTGAGCCTGACTGGCCTGTCGTTCCCTGGATCCTCCTTCTTGCCCTTTCCCAAGACATGAGTTTAAAAGCCCAAGATTTCTGTCTTACTGATCTGAATGTGCTTGAACAGATGTAAGAATTTCATCCTGTTTAAAAGCAGTAGTACCTTGAACACTGGAATTAATTAATGTAATGTTCCTATGGTTGCTTAATTTTTGGAACCTATGGTAGTATAGCTGAAACTTTCTGCTCTACTTGACTTCTTAATGTTGTGTTCCTTCCAAAAGATTTTCCCAAAAGTAATCAGAAAGGTCCTCTACTGCAGAAAAGCCAATCGTCTCCTTTTCACATTGTTTTTTTTTTTCTTCCCTTATTTTTTTTAAACTTCACCAACTACCTAAATAAAAATGCAGAACATCTAAGTTCATTTCTAGCTGGAAGTACTAAATATTTGATAGTAAACCAAGCTTGTAGAGTGTATTTTGTAGTTCCTGAGAAGTAAAAGTTGAAAAATATTTTTGTAGGTCCAATGATAAATTAAGTTCTGGAGAAGAAAGTAAAAAGAGTGATACAAAACCTTTGCATCAAGCGAGGGAAACCCTCTGGAACCCAAGGCCAAACCTAATGAGAGTTACTAGAAAAAGAGTTTATGCTGAAGAAGGTGAAAACAGAGAAGAGGACAATGCTGAGAATAGAAATGCAGAAGTGTGTTTGGTGTTAGAAAAAACAGGTGTATCAATGGTAAGTGCTGATCATGTGTTTTGAGCCAATTTATACCGCAATTCTTGTGTTTAAGTTCTTGGAACCATAGATGGCACAGAAATCCAGTATATGGCTGTGAAAGGTTAATGTGATTCTTTCTTTTTTTTTTTAATTTACTATTGGAAATTATGATGAATAAATGGACTTAGAATCTAAAAACTGTGGAAATATTTTATGTACATTGTTGTCTTAACTCTTAGAGTTTATATGGTCAGAGGTCTGTATTATCATAAATACATGCTAATACTGTTACCAATTAATTTAATGTCTGTTATTCACTGAACAATGGAAATTAAGGCAGCTGTCTAACATCAGATACTACCTAAAATACATATAAGTATACTTTTAAGTTGAAATGTATGTGAACAAAGTTCAGACCTCCTTCTGCTTAAATTCACTTAACAGTCCTAACCTAGCCCAGACTAGTTCCTTCTCTGTCTAAAGTTGCAATACCTGAATCTGGTGTTCCTTATTTTCTAGATGGATCACTAAAATCTTTCAGTTAACATATTATTTTAGCCAAGCAAAGCATCCATAGTTGACAGAACTGTGCTTACTGATGGTTTTTATGTTCTGGGATATGTTTCTGTGTGTGTGTTTTGAATAATATTTAAAAGCTGTTCTGTAAACTATGGTAGTTTTTTCTTCCTAGTTTGTTCCCAGGGCAGAAAAAAATAATTCATCCTTCCCTCAAATTGTTCTTTAAATTAGTAGGTAGTTTCAGAAAATGATTCATCCTTCCAACTTCTGAAGAGTTGCTGCTCTTAAGTTGAGCATGGCCTTGGTCTATTAACTAGCAGCAGCACTGGGAACTCAGGCATCATAGATAATACCATCTAATGACACTTCTGCTATTGAGCCTGAAATTAAACAAAATGGGGAAGAATGTCCCAAGCTATCAGAGATGACAGCTGGACATGTTTTTAAGAACCTCAAACTCAGTTCTTTAAATCTTTTTGTCACCAAACCCGATTAAAAATGTTTGGCACTTAATAAGGTAGTAATTGTCTCCTCTGTTCAGCAAAACTCCAGTAACATAGTGGAAGATGCATCCTTCTCAGAGGCTACAAGAAAACACAATTTTACAGACTCTGTTGAAGAAACCTCTTGTAAAAGAATCAGGCAGGATAGTAGACTCCAGTCTCCAGAGATATCATCAGAGAGTGAGAGTCAAGTAGAACAAGAAGATGATTCTCAGCTTTCTACCTCTCAGGAAAAAAATTCAGACAATCTCACAAGGTAAAAAAACCTAATTTTGGCTTGTAAGCTCGACTGATTTTTATTTTTAAAAGTAATTATTAGTCTGCAGTGTGTTATGAGAGCACATGCAGGATGTCAATCCTTGTGTCTTCCATCTGAACTCTACCAGATGCATGCAGATATCCTATGTCTCTTACCCTACCTGTACGCTCATAAAATGAACACAGCCAGCACTCCCACCAACCCATCCCAGGGTCCACCTTTGGTTTCAACAGGAATTCCTGATTTTAAAGGGGAGGACTTTGAAGTACCTGTACTGGGGGCACAGGGATTGTGGGATTAACCTAAACAGAAACTCTGTGCTGGAAGTGTCCTCTGCTGCTATTTGTTTCACCTCCCCACCAGTTTACCAAGGAGTATGTTTTCTGGGGGAAGTTTAGAATTTTGGTACCCAAAGTGGTCGTGCCCATCATCTTGAGGAGGGAAACAGTAAGCAGTTGGTTATTGAAGAGATTGCTGTCTGAGAAACCGGAGCAGATAACTAATTATCATCTAATGGTTCTAGTTTCTAGACACTAGTCTGATCAACTAAAGTATCATAGTTTGGGGCTCCTAGTTTAGCTTTAGCAAAAGAGAACTGGAAATGTTCCCATAACGTAAAAAGCATGTGACTTCCATGTCCCTCAAAATGAAAATTAATTCATCCTTTTCTAATCAAAGAATTCTGTGTCTTTTAAATTTAATTGCACAGCTTTCCAACACTATGAAACTGCTTAATACACATTTACAATCAGTACTTTGTGCATGCATGAAGAAATTAGGATTTCTGATTAAATGGTATGTGGATGCATTTTTGTCACTATATGTTAGGAAGTAAATAGATTGTATTGTTGGTCACAATGATCCTTTTTTTATTCATTGAGTTTGTTTTGATTTGTGGTACTCCTTTTTTTGGAATGTCTTGGACTTAATTGTTTTTTAAACATGCTTTTGTTCTGTACTTCTGTACTAGAAGGCAGTCCAGAAGGTCATCAAAACGGATAGCGCTGCCAAAACACGTCTCGAAGCTAAGGACTGCTTCTTCTGCCTCTGAATGTGAGGCTGATTGCAATGAGAAGGGGAATCAAAGGCAACAAGTTAAACTGAGTGTTACTAGAGGGAAAAATTTGAAAACTACACATAGGAAGAAATCTGGGAAGGAGCACAGAAGTTCAAAGACAGCCTTGGTGACCCTCCGGGCTTCTCAAGAGGAGGAGGAGGAGGAGGAGGAGGCAGCGGCAGATGACTTTGAGCCTGATGATGAAGATGAATGCTTTGCACCAGAGGAAGTAAACAAAGCTCCAGTGTTTGTTCCTATAGGTCTTCGATCTCCAAAACCTGTTCCTGTTCAGATAGAGGAAACCATGGAGGAGGTATCATGTAGCTGGGTTCTGCATATGTACTTTTGTTTTGGTTATTTAAACAGCTTTTATTCTAATTGCATCACTGAGTACTTGGGTTTTATCGCAATTTAGTTTAATTTGTTAAGAATGGTGTTGAGAGTAGCAGGGATGTTACTTGGCACATGTGCTTGGTTTTGAACAAAATACTATATCAGTCTAAGGTCCAGTTATGTTTACAAGCTGTATATAGGTCTGCAGGGTGCTCACCAGTTTGTTTATTGGGATTGAATGTAGGCACAGACTACCATGCTTACTACGTGTTTTGAGGCCCAAGATGGAACAAATGAAGCATTTCAATTTCACATTTGAATGTTAGGAAATAAGGGAGTGAGAGAGATGTTTCTGTATGTGGTGTCCCCCTCACCAAGAAACTTTAACTGTGTGGTGGGCTGACCCTGACCAACAGCCAGGCACACACACAGCTGCTTCCTCACTCCCCTCTCCTGTGGGACAAGGAGAAAATAGAAGGAAGGTGAAAAGACTTATGGATTGATATAGAGACAGTTCAATAGGTGAAGCAAAAGGTGAAAGCAAAGCAAAAAAAGGAATTTATTCACTACTTTCCATTGGCTGGCTGCTTCCTGGAAAGCAGGGCCTCAGCCTGTGTAAGAGTTACTCTGGAAGATAAATGCCGTAACCACAAATGCCCTCCTCTTCCTCCTCCTTTCCCTGAGCTTTTATTGCTGAGCACAGCATCATATGATACGGAATATCCCTTTGTTCAGTTTGGGTCAGCTGTCCCAGCTGTGTGCTCTCCTGACCTCTTGCCCACTCCCAGCCTACTTGCTAGAGCAAAGAGTAGGAAAACAAAAGGTTTGACATTGTGCAAGCACTGTTCAGCAATAGCAAAAACACTGGTGTGTTATCAACACTGTTGTAGTCATAAATCCAAAACACAGCACCATGTGGGCTGCTATGAAGAAAATTAACTTCATTCCAGCCACACCCAGTACAATCTTCACCATTTATTTCATACCATTTGTCATGCTTAGGTCCTACACTATCCAGTACATCCTTATTAACCACAACTTCTCTTCCTGTCCTTTGATATATATATATATATATGGATATTATTCCCTTGGTCTGTGGGCCACCCCCTTAAAATGTCCATCAAATGTCCTTTGAGTTTGGTCCATGCCTTGGGCTCCATGTATTACGTGGTTGCTTGGGAGAGGTGGCATGTTGTGTTGAGTTTTTGGGTGCCAAAGCCAACTCAGGTTGGTCACCACTGCACTTGCCTGGTTTCTTGTGAGGCTTGTCTTCCCTTGATTCATGTTGTTCTTGCTATAGTACTTACTATAGCTTACTACTCAAATAATGGGTTCAAAATGTTTAAACATATATCCATTAAAATTTCCAGCCCTTGTCCCTTTGGTTCAGGCTGTAGGGTTTGACGTTGCAATAGACTCCACTCCTTGCCCGTGCTCTAGCGTGGGTCCTCCATGGGCTGCAGTCCATTCAGGGATGTTCCTGCTCTGTCTGGAATGGGCAGATCCATGGGCCTCAGTCTCTGCTACTGTCAGTGAGAGACCATCTACATCTTTGTCAATTTTATTCAAAAGCTGTATGTTTTGACTCTTGGTCTACAAATGGACCATTTGTAGAGTTGTAAACATTAAGCCTAGAGTGCAGGCCTATGCTTTAATTGTACTCTTAGACTAGAATAAAACTCAAGACTGTAAGACTGTAGCAAGACTTGGTATTATATTTACTAAGACCAGTCACTAGAGAGGAAATGGCATACTTTTTTGTCATCAGAGAACTGTTGAGGTTTGTGAACAGTGGAATCTGTTCAAGGCCTTGAAAGGGATTGTGCTCAAAGGTTTAGACATTTTTCTATTTTTTTCCTTATCATTCAACATGACTTCTTTGCTTTTTTTATCCCTTCTAGCCTGTCTTGTCTCAGTGATGTGTTTTCACAGGTCTTTTTTTTTTTTTTTCTTTTTTTGCTTCATTCCAAATCTGTTTGTCCGGTCTGTTCCATTCATGTCTCAGGTGTTCATCACTATTTCTTTCTATTCACTCCAATTTTTTTTGCTTACTACTACTAGTCATCTTCCTCTCTTCTCCCATTGAAATCCTGCTTTTGTGTCTCCTGAATTAATCACACTGTTTCTTTCTCTGGGTGAAACAGCAAGAGAATTTAAAGCTCAGTCAAAACACCAAGGGAGACTCTAGAACAATAATGGACAGGAAAGTTGTGGCACAGAAAGTTTGCCGAATCCCTTAATTTCAAAGATGTGGAATATATTACATGTGGGGTTGATGATCAAGTTTCCTGGTTTAACACACAGGAGCCATGAGTACTAGTAAGGGATATGGTTAGATACCTGAGGATTCAGCTGTTGTCAAATTTAAATAGATCAGTGGAAAGTATATGTAAAAGTGCAAGCCTTTGAAAGCTATCCAGATTGAGCAGTGTTTTTCGTAAGAACCTCACTGGAAATATTGTAACCTTTCTGCCAAATTTCAAGTCCTCATTTCTGAAAACGTCAAATATCTGAAGTTCTCAGTGAAAAGACAGCGTTTAAGAAAAAAAAAACAGATAAAATGGTGAATGAGTGTGTGCCTGTGTGTGGGGGTGTGTGTGTATTCCCTAGCCTTACTTTGGAAAAAGGCTGAACTCTTTTTCTTTCCTGAAGACTTAAAAAGCAGGAAAAGTGTCAAAACGAACAAACCCCGTTTGAGGTAAATGGCCACCATGAAAGATCTCAGCCGCATAGCTTAGTTTGGTGGAGTAGTAAGCAATTAGAAACAAGGTCTTAGGTTGTCTGATGCTTCAAGTTAGTTACAAGCAGCACTACCAGTTCTGCCTCCAGCAGTTCATATAACTGCTGCCTTCTTAAATCAGAAGGTATGTAGTATAAGACTTGATTTTTGGGAAGGATCCCACTAAATGTTCAAGATCCGGAAAGTATATGTGGTTTATAAAAATTTGCATTTGACAGATTTTCTGTAGGGGCTGATGAACTGAAACACTTTTTAAATTATTTTTACAGCTGGAAATACTTGTGAATATACCAGATGTGCAGGTGCCTACTGATGCTGAAAGTCTCTCATACGCATCTGTGCAGCCGGTGGTACAGAAGGAGGAAAAAGTAAGCACCTCAACAGCTGTAAGAATGTCTTTTTGTTTGGTTTTTTTTTTTTGTTTCATAGCACATACAAAGCTACGTGGACAATGTCTGGTTGCCATGTCTGCTTGTAACAGTATAGCTTAATAGACTCTTACCTGTCCCACACAGATACGAAGGACACAGCTGTGGGAAAACTATGTAAGTAAATATTGTCAGCCTTTAAAATACCCTTTCAAAGCCAGGTAATCTTTGGGCAGAGAATTTACCCGTAAGCATTAAATTAAAATTGTGGACTCATTTTATATAGAACTTTGATATTGTTTTTCTTTTTATTTAAGGAAACAACTATACATGAAAATCCAGAGGTGGACAAAGGTAGATATGAAACAATCTTGTTCATATCTTTCCCATTAACGTGCTACCAATATGTAGTTATTCTAGCTGGAAGTTTGGAGGTTTATATATCTTAGAAAAAAAATCTGCTCATGAGGTACTGGATGCTTCTATGTTTTGGAGGAGATTTAAACCATTTTCTTTCTTGCTGTTCTTTATCAAGTAAGAGGACCAAGCATTGCAGGGTTCTGTTTTGCAGGGTCAGAATGTGCCCTTTGTGTGTCCCGTCTATCACTTTCCAATGCTGTGGTTAGTTGTACCAGGAGAAGAGGAAACTTTGCAAGTGCTTACTTGCAGCTTGCTTGATGTGCAGTTGAGTGATACAAAGAGTGGGCAGATTCATAGCTTTGTCATCTCTGTGGTCTCTGACTTTAATATCCTAAACTGGTAAAATAGCATGTGTGACAGACTGTGATCACAGTCTTCCAGAAGCAAATATTCTTTCCGTATGAGATATGCTACAAACTCTTATGGATCTATTAATTTTTAGAATAGCTTTCACTTTTAAATTTAAATACATTCTCAATACATCTTCCTAGGAAGCACTGGAAGTTGAGTGGGCTACTGTGTTAGTTGAAGGAGTGGAAGCCTACTTTGTTCTTTCAATTTAGTTCAGTACAATAGCTTTGAGGATGGAAATGTTTTGTGTGAAATGACCAAACGGATGTATCCTGGGTAGAAGTTAGGAACTGGGAGTCTAAACTGGTATATGGATCAACACTATAGGTTATGGATTTCTGCAATTAAACTGTTCATAGAATCATAGAATCATAGAATCATTGAGGTTGGAAAAGACCTCTTAAGATCATCGAGTCCAACCGTCAACCCAACACCACCATGCCCACTAAACCATGTCCCTAAGTGCCTCATCTACACGTCTTTTAAATACCTCCAGGGATGGGGACTCCACCCTCTTTCTTTTCCATTTGTGGTTGGTTGACCTTGGCTGGCTGCAAGATGCCCACCCAGCTGCTCTCCCACTCCTCCTCCTCAACAGGATGAGGGGAGAAAATAAAATGGAAAACCTCCTGTGTTGAGATAAAGACAAGGAGATCACTTACCAAAACAGACTCAACTTGGGGAAAACAAATTTAATCTATTGCCAAATAAAATAGAATCATAGAATCATTAAGGTTGGAAAAGACCTCTAAGATCATCGAGTCCAACCGTCAACCCAACACCACCA